TCTAGGTGGCCACCATTCGTATAACTGAACACACATGCTCTAGTAAATGGCAGCCATTTATTCTCCCAAACGTAGGCAGCAGTATCTGGTCGTTGCGTGCATGGAACTAGATTTCAGATACTTTGCATGGTCGTTTAGTGCATGAAACTAGATTTCGGATACTTTGAGCGCTATTTGGACAACTTGGGAGCTCACATCCAGGCTATCCGAATATATAATACTTATATATACGTTTTTGGTGTTGATGTACTGTACCTTGAGTGCCTGGGAGATAATTAGTTTAAGCCAAAGCAAACTCACTTATCTCCCAGACACAGAGACGCTTGGGCAGTTTTACTGTTATATGAATAGATCCCATCCTGGGTGTCATGTATATAGACAGGCAACTTGGCCCAAATAAAACCAGTTCTTTTTGTACCCTTCATCAAGTCTCAGCTGATGTTTGGGTATGCGGGAGTTATAATCACCGCTTCACTAGACCCTATTCTGGGAGAATCTACAGCGGAGGTACCACTTCGGGTATAAGCACTCCGTTAGACTGGTGGCAATCAGCAGGACTCCAGAATGGATATCCTGAACCAGGAGATGCAGTGAATGGCCCGGCAGTACCAGCTGTTTAAGTGAACCACACTAAAGGATTTACCGGAAGCTCGAGGCAGAGTGGCGAGTAACAAGCCGAAAGCTGCAATCATCGCCAAAGTCATGCAGAGCGACAGATTCAGTAACTCACCGGTGGACCTCACTGAGGAGTCAGAGATCCAGAGGAATGTCCAATGGTGGCTCCGCATCTTGGGGACCAATCCCTTGCAGGACATCATTGTCCAAATAATGGCTCAAGTGACAGAAGCATGGACTCAGACTTTCCTAACTACGAAAGCGTCAAGAAGACACTGCTAGCAAGGTATGCAGTTAGACCCGAAGTGTACTGAAGAAAATATTACTGATTAAGAAAAGGGGAAAGAGACTCTTAGGCCAAATGCGCTTTTCATATGCACTGAGCAGCCCAAAATTTAATGCAAGGAGTCAAGCAACCATATTGACCGATGCCTTGCAACTATTATTATTAGAACAATTTTTTGATCACACTCCACCGGAGGTTCAAGACTAGGTCTGGGACTGAAAACCATTGACCGTGGAAGAAGCAGCTAGATATTGGCCACGATGGCAGAAGCAACAAAATCACCAGTATATCGACGCAATAACTAAACCCCAATGACCTCACTACTGAATCTGCCACCTCAACCTACGTCCCCGCCAGCAGCAGTGCCGTACTGAAATATGCAACCAACTGGGGCACATTAAGAACAATTGTCCCCTTTGCAGGTAAGGAGAGTGGGATCCCCCACAGTCACAACCAATGCGTGCAGTAGCACATTGCTTTTATGAAGAACACGTTGAAGACTCCCCGTGCATCAGGGGTGCAGTGTGTGTCTGTGTGAGTGAGGGTGCTATGAGTGTGTGAGAGGTGCAGTGTGTGCGTGTGTGTGTGTGTAAGTGATGGTGATGTGAGTGTCAAGGGTGCCGTGAGTGTCAGGGGCGCAGTGTGTGTGAGGGTACTGTGAGTGCCAGGGGTGCAGTCTGTGTATGTGAGTGAGGGTGCTGTGAGTGCCAGGGTGCAGTGTGTGAATATGTTTGGGGGGCTTGTGTGTTAGTAGGGAGGGAGGGGGGCAGATTATCAATATATATAATTTAAAAAATAAAATATGCACGGATTATATCCCCCTCCCTTTTTACCTTTAGCTTGGGAGGGGGGACCGTGCTGCCATCCCTGGTGGTGCTAGTGGTGAGTGAACTATAGCCTGTGGGCTATGGCAAAGCTCCGGATCTCGCAAGAGGAACCTGGCGGAGCTGCAAGATAGAGCTCCTCCGGGTTTCTTTCCTGTCTCCCTCCCTCTCTCCCCTGCTGGCGGGCGCAATACACTGTATGCGGGCTGGTGAGGGAGATCTTTGATCTCCCCACCAGCCCGTCATGGAAATCAGCAAGGCCGGTGCTCAGATCGGCCCATGGACAGCGTGGCCCACCGGGCATTTGCCCGGTGTGCCAGATGGCCAGTCTGGGCCTGGTCTATATCAATTTGAGTTCAGGGTCCAAATCCATCGAGGTTTGGATCATGAGGGACTTCCCAGCAGAAGTTCTACTTGGAAACGACGTAGGGTGCTTAACTTCACAATTCGAACCACAGAACACTGAAAGCGCACTAACGGTAACCACACATCTACAAGCCCAAACGATGGAACCTTTGCACTCTGAAGAACCTCAAGTAAGAGACAATTTCCCAACCCTAGACGCTCAACTGGCCCCCTACTATTAAAACTCAGCCACGATAGTCTTAGCAGATAATCTAGGAAGCCGAAAACTAGTCCTAGTGGGGTCGCTTAGTAAGCCTAGCCCCTCCGGAAAAGAAATACATCTTAACCATGGTGGATTATGCCACTTGGTTTCCAGAAGCCGTAACCCTATCCAACATACATGCCGAATCTGTGGCAGAAGCGTTGGTTAAAGTCTTAACTATGGAAATCGTATCCAGGGGACACAATTTATGGCCGCTATAACCCTGCAGCTCTAGCAGAGCTGCAGTATTAAACCCATCTTAAGCTCTCCATATCACTCCCAGATGAACGGGCTCTGCTAACAGTTCAACGGCACCCCCAAACCGATGCTCCGAGCCTTCACAGCCTCCTGTAGAAACAGGGAGAAGTTCCTGCCCCATCTGTTATTTGCCTATAGGGAAGTTTCCCAGGAGTCTACTGGATTTTCCCCCTTTGAATGTTTGTATGGGAGGAGGGTGCGGGGATCCCTAGACCCTATTCGAGAGCATTGGGAAGTAAAGACTGGAGAGGAAGGCACCCCCATTGTGCCATGTAGTGGACCACTGGTAACCCGACTGGTTACCTCCGCTAATTCCTTCACTCAGCCACTCTGACACCATTTAAATTAGCAGACATCCATTCTCCCAGTGACCAGACGAAACATAGTTCTGGGAGTCAACTGATCTATTTCAGACCACACACGCATTTATGCACAGACCCCTACATGGGGTCTCCAACACAAGAATGCAGGTTTTTCATTCCCAGGATCCTCTGTGCCTGAGCGATAATTGCGTAGAATAGAAAAACCTATAATTTCATTATCTCTCAGGTTCAGAAAATCCCCACAAAATATACCGGATCAGGGGGGAGGGGGTCACAGATCAGTTTCACACCGGGGCCCCATGGATTGTGTGTACACCACTGGCAGCGGTAAGCTTTACCTAGCTGAAAAGAGTTCCAGGCACTCAATGACCAAGTGCTGCTGCCCATGTTCCGGAGATAAGATGGCCGCCATTCTTTTGTCGACCAAGTGAGTTCAGTTATACAAAATGGCGGCCACCCGGGGAAGCATTCATTAATTACTTACCTTGCAGTATCGCTCTTAAGTTGCCGGTGTGAACTTTCTAAAGGGATACAGGGGTGGTCCTCGTCCAGGAGACGAATGGATATAGTTCGTATGCAATAACACCCAAATGGAAAAAGGGCGATCTTTTCAGATCGGCGTGGGGGTATCCAGGGGAGTACTCAAGGATAACTTCTCAAGTTCTGTCTGTCATGATAACCCGTCGGCATTCCCATTCTGCTTACCGGGTCTATAATGAATGGTAAAGTCTTAGGGCTGTGTGAAGGAATGCAACTTGATTCCAAGGCTCAGGCTTGTAGGTGCCATAAAAAGGCTAGCCTAAATAAAAATTGGCTAAACTTGGACTCATGATATGCTATATGTATAAATGAACATTGATCTCTTTAAGTTCCGTTTTTTGTGACCACTGGTCCCCACTGGAGCATTTCTTGGCCCCTGTTTTGATCACTGACAGTTTGGTGCCGAAACCCAGGATCTGACGGTCAAAAATACTAGGGTACTGGCAGGCGTTCAAGGTGAGACAAATATTTTATTTTCTACCTATATAATTTCACTCTTAGATCTACGTCCCTGTCAATCTGTCTGGATAAGAAGTGACTTAAAAACGTCAGATCCAAAGAACTGTTTTTAAAAGGGTTATATTATATTCAGGTGGAAATTGTAATGTCCTGTGAAAGAAATCTTGAGATAATAGAATCAATCTGTGGGTTTCAAGTTCTCTTTATTGTTTGCCTTGTCATTTGTTTTATGATTAGAATTAGAATCCTCCAAGGAAGATCTCCTGATCTGTGTTTAGATTGAGAAGACAAAGACTGTGAAAATTCCACTCCAGTGGTCCTAAGTGTTCTAAACACTGTTTGTATAGTCTTGTCTTGGTTAAGGGAGTAATTAACACTTACAGGTAGAATGGGTAATTCCCAAAGTACTCAGGAGGAATTTACAGCTTTGCCTATAGTCAAACGTAATAAAGGACAAGGAGCAACTAAGAAAATTAAAAAGTTACTTAAGAAAGCTGGCATGCCCTCAGAGGGCACCCTTGACCCACAGATCTGGAAGGAATTGTTGGCTAATTATAGAGGATGGTTAGACGTCAATGATTTAGTAGACGTTGCTCAGAAATGGTATGATAGTGCAGTTGAACTAACTAAATGTGGTTGTAGGGAAACCACTAGGAAAGGTATACCATATTATCAATGTTTTGGACCCTTATGGTCTCAGGGTGAGAAGGATCTAAAGAAGGAACCTGAAAATCCACCTCCCTACCCGGATAAGGAAAGGGGCTTATTCAGCCCCTAAAGACAAAATGAGATCTCCAGTTCTCATACCCCCTGAGAATACCAATGTTGAAAAACATATTGAATCTGTCCTCAGTGCCAATGGACAAACCCATGGAGGGAAGAGAAGTGTAGAAACTGTGGCTTTCCTCGACCCCTAGGTCACCTCTTAATGTACCTTAAAGATCCACAGCCGGGTCACGTATTAGCCCATCCAGATAGCCCTTCACCACTTAACCAAGACCCTGAAAACCTTTTTCCAGTAGTATTTTGCAGTGGAACTACATATAACTCCGCTGCTCTAGTAAGACCCATGGGGTCACAAGTGGAAGATGGTGGTCCACCAGACTTTTAAGGGAACCCCTAGTGGCCCCTATCAACACCCCAGTAAGACCATTAGCTCCACGATTTATACCAAACCCGAAAGTAGACAGCTTTCATGGACTAGACAAGGGAGTTCAGGTATCCAACACTGGGAAGAATATAAGCATTGGACCCCCTGTGAGCAGTTAGCCATAATACAGCAACTGCCAGATGTAGAGAAGGCTCCATTAGCATTAGTCCAGTCCATGTCCACAATCCAAGCCACTTACCAGTGTACTTGGATGGATTTAAAGCAGATTGTTGACCTTAAAGCAGGTCCCCCATTCTAGCTAGGATAATGTCCAAATATACCGATGCACATGAGGATAGTCTGAAAAGAAGTTATTTGCAGCCAGTTAGGTGGTTTAGAACCAAATCTGCTTCGGGGGAATGTTATATCGCTGCCCTGAGAGAATGGGCTAAAGTAAAGACCCAAGATTTACCCCACAAGCTAGGTGATATTGTGCAAGGCAAAGATGAGTCTGTTGAAAAGTTCTTTACTAGACTCCAGATAGCTTGGGAATCACAAGGCTACTCAGATTTTGAAATCACCTCCACCAGACTCCTAATAAATTGCTTTATAGGTGGTCTCCTCCATCCCATAAGGACTGGTCTCCAAAATGCCAGACCTGAATGGAGAAGCCTTCAGTATGGGGATCTAGTCAAGGTAGCAATGGGCGTGGAGGCCAATTTGAGTAACCGGAAAATAATGACGCCTCTAATGGCACTAACTGCCCCCAGAAAAAACACAGAGAGAAGGCAGGTAGAGTGTTGGAACTGTGGGAGAAAGGGACACATCAAAAGAAACTGTAAATGACCTCCTTACATCAAACCTGACAGTCAGAATGTAACAGCAGGGCCCCCGCTTACCCCTCCTTCGCAAGATACTGCTGCTTCCCCATAGGAAATTGACAACCCAGTGTCTCTGCATGCTTTAACCAATCCTGACATGGCTGGACACTCTCCTACTATTAATATTACATTACAAGGTGACAGAATAGTCAATTTTTTGCTTGACACTGGAGCAGTCCAATCTGTGGTGCAGGAAAAATACATCTTTCCTTATGAAAAATCTGAAGATGTATTGTCATGTGTGAGGGTAGATGAGACCCCTAGCGACATCCCCCTCACCCACAAAATAAAGCTGAAGCTTCATGATTCCACCTCCCTTGTAACTAGACTGCTTGTCAGCCCCAATGCCCCTGTTAATTTGCTAGGCAGTGATGTTCTGTCTGCTATTAATGCAAATATTCAGTTTGGTCCGTCTGGAGAGGTATCATTGTCCCGTCCCCTGGAGGACAGTCAACTGATACCCCTTGCTAATGTACTAGCGACCCTCACTGTGCCCAGCTCTGTGACAGAACCTACCATTGACTTGGCCTCAGTCCCCGACTCCCTATGGGCAACAGGGAAAAGAGAGGCAGACTCTCTATGTCCCCAGTCAAAGTGATTCTACTGCTAGGAGCCACCCTGCCTGCCAGAAACAGTATCCACTCAGCCCAGCACAGAAGATGCCATCTCCCAATCTGTACAAGAGTTCTTGCAAGCAGGAATAATTGTCCCAACTGCTTCCGCTTGTAATAACCCCCTGTACTCCATTAGAAAGAAACAGGGGAGGGGCGGAGCTTGACACCGCACCAGAGCGGACACCATTGCTCTGAGCTCCGACACTTTTCCATACAATCTGCCTAAAACAGAGAGCATCCTGCTCAACCACCGGCTAAAAAAGAAACGGTCAGTTGCAGCACTAACTACCGTACCTGCAGATGCCCTTCTTTTTAACTTCGGGCACGAAAACCCAAACTCAAGGCCTAAGGCCTGCCGTGTGGGCGGACTGCTTCGAGAACTTGCTGAAAGACCCAGACTGTGGAACGCACCGGAGTGCCCCGGTACCAGTGAGGCAGGTGAGATGGGGCGCAGGTCACAAAAGCAGCCTCTACAGAACCCGAAACTACAGCAGTACATCGGCCACATGCTGCTAGCTCCCCCCACACAACAGGCCTCACCACACCACACGGCCTCCCCAGCATTCTCGGTAGAAGAGGACCACCCAGGCAGTCCCCCCTCCATTTCTAACCCTCCCTTGCTGACACACTCTACAGGAGACCACAGCCCGGCCTCTGAAAGGGACATACAAAATATGCTCACAGGCCTGAGGCAAAATTTTAAGCAGATGTGGAAGGCTGACCTAGATGTTTTAAATTCTTTATTTTATTCGTACATAGGTTAGAAAGACAAGATTGCGCTGCCACAACAGCTGGTATATGCATAACATCGGATAGACTATAACAATTATGTGACATGAGGAACAGTGCACATTTTCTATTGATGAGGAAGAACAGTAGCATATCAGCACACTTGATAATGAAAGGCAAGCCAGGTGAAGTTAGACTAGAGTATTGGCTCGGACTAGGCGGGTGCATATGATAGGTACATTAGAGGTAACATCTGGTGAGAGACAGTATGGTAAGATATCTAGGGCTATAAACAGTATAGGTATGATGTGCTATGTGTGCAGGTCCTTACATAATGTGCGGCAGAGTGGCAAGTTAGTCAATGAAATCAGCACGTGTGTTGCTTGACATCCCTGTAAGGCAAGTTACTTGTTGAGCTAAAGACATGGTAACATGCACACTGTGTAGGCTGACACTAGCTATGCCCACCAAACATCTTAATTTACGTGACTGGTATGCGGACTAGACGAGATCAGGGCCGGATTAACATAGGGGCTGATGGAGCTGCAGCTCCAGGCCCATTGATTTTTATTTTTTTTTTACATTTTTTTTTCCCACACACTACTCTTAGGGATTCCACCTGGCTTTTATTTTATTGGAACAGCCAGTATTTGAGGCTGCCTGGCTGGTACCAATATTGCAGTGATACTGGCAATACAAATGCTGGTATTTTTCTCAGTATAAACAAGAGATTACTATGCAATACCAGCACTGGCCAGTAGGGGTCGCTGTATGTGGAGAGAGGCAGTGATAGGAAGTTGCAGCATATCTATCCCTGCCTATCTATACTCACTGATCTGCAGGGGTGCAGCTAGAGAGAGTCCAGACAGTAACTCCCACCCTGCAGAGACAGCCTACAGCTCAGGGAAGTAAGGGATGGGGGGAAAGGCTGCAAGGAGACATACACTGAGACACTAAGGGACATTGGGAGACATTATGACACAGACACATGGGGACACAGTGTCCCCATGTCTCCCAGCCAGTGTCCCTGGTGTCTCAGTGCACCCTAGTCTCCCAGTGCCCCCTAGTCTCCCAGTGCCCCCAGTCTGCCAGTGTCTCACTGTCCCCATGTCTCCTAGTGCCTCCATGTCTCTCATTGCCTCAAGTGTCTCAATGTCCCCATGTCTCCAAGCTAGTGTCCCTAGTGTCTGTGACCCTGGTGTCTCCTTGTCCCCATGTCTCAATGTCCCCCAGCCAGTGTCTGTGTCCCCATGTCTTCAAGTGTCCCCTATTTTCCCAGTGTCCCCATGCATCCCAGCCAGAGTCCCCTAGTCTCCCAGTGTCACTGGGGTCTCAGTGTCCCTAGGTCTCCCCGTCTTCCTAGTGACATGGGGACCCTGGGATACATGGGGACACAGGGAGACATGGGGCATTGAGACACTGATACATAGGCTCACTGGGAGACCTGGGGACACGACACTAGGGGACACTGGGAGACATGGGGCACTGAGACACTGATAGATAGGAACACTGAGACCTGGAGTAATCGACACATGGGGGCACTGGGAGACATGGGGCCACTGGGAGGAATGCATCTATATTTTCTCTTATGTCACTCCTTGTGATTTACATCATGTGATGTCACCCATACATATTTAATTATGCAAATTAGCAAGGCCGGTATGTTTTTCCAAAAAAGGTGGCAACCCTAACTACTTTTCACATACTCTTACTTAAGTATGGAAACTTAAGAGGGATGTATGGGAACACAACTTGTGTGGACTGGCTGACAATGAATATAGTTAAAGGGACACTATAGTCACCAGAACAACTACAGCTTATTGAATTTGTTCTGGTGAGTAGAATCATTACCGTCAGGCTTTTTGCTGTAAACACTGTCTTTTCAGAGAAAATGCAGTGTTTACATTACAGCCTAGTGATATTTTCACTGGCCACTCCTAAGATGGCCGTTAGAGATCCTTCCTGGGTCGTGGCTGCCTAAAATGCATCCATACATTCAGTGTCTCCTCCCTCTGCATGCAGACACTGAACTTTCCTCATAGAGATTCATTGATTCAATTCATCTCTATGAGGAGATGCTGATTGGCCAGGGCTGTGTTTGAATCATGCTGGCTCTGCCCCTGATCTGCCTCTTTGTCAGTCTCAGCCAATCCTATGGGGAAGCACTGTGATTGGATTAGGCCATCACTTCTAATGATGTCAGCAGACTGCTTATTTTTCTGAGTCTAACAGCATGAGTCAGGCTTGAATATAGTAAGATTTTGCTATATGTATGGAGGCATGAGGGGCCCCGGGGGGCTAGATGGTGGTGTTAACTCTATAGGGTCATGAATTCATGTTTGTGTTCCTGACCCTATAGTGCTCCTTTAAGGTAATGCTGACTTTGGTCTCTCTAACACTGTTGCATGTTCCCTTTCTTCTACACTCACTACATACAGCTTTTCTCTGTCCCAGACTATATACCAGGAGCTTCTGCCTGCTAGTATGTGGACCAGCGAGTGCTAGGGGACAGTCCTTAGAAAGCGTGGAGCGAGCACATCATTAGATGCATTTATGATAAGCTCAGGATGCTGTCTGCATAGTATGCCCTTAGTTGGCCAGCTGCATGATTGGCAGGCAGCCTGACATGCATTCATACCAGGCTGGCCTTCTAATTCTTTGGGCAGACATATCCTCTTTTTGGGCATGTTCGCCCCTTTTGGCAGGTTACGTGATTTGTGTCAGTGGCACACCCTTTTACCCCGCCCATTAACTTCCTGCTTGACTGGACACTGCTGTTAGGGGTTATGGATTTACTTAAAAGATGAAAACATAAATTAGAGAGAGATTAGCCTAGGGTATGTGTTTTATTATAGCGGCTGTTTTCTTTCTCTCCAGCACCATTTCCATCAGATACATGACGCTTGGGAGTGTTTTACTGTTTTTGGTCGATATGATTCCGTAATTAGGCCCGTCATAATTGTCAGCACCAGGCCCACTGGGCTCTTAATCTGGCCCTGCCCTGCCTGGAAGGAGAGAGCTGCAGTGGGATAGGCAGAGGGGACGATACTTCCCTGAAAGGAGAGCTGCAGCCTGGTTAAGTGGAAGAGCTCCTGAGAGAATCCAGTCAAGCTTCGGCGACTAGGGCAGAGGTACTCGGTCGGAGTACAGGAGCTCCCTCACATTTGATGGCAGTGATGGGATGGCTTCCTAGCAAGTGGGGAAGCATCTCTGGGACACCGGTGCATTTTATGGGATCCTGGCAAGAGGGATAGCACTAGCACCTGTGCAGCATCCTTGTCTGAGAGGAATTCATGAGGATGGAGCAAGCTAGCCCCCGGTCAGCATCCCCATACAAGGAGGAGTGGAGACTGCAGGACGCATTGGCCCAGGAGTATGGCCTTATTTCAGTGGAGGAGCTGGCTTGGAGAGATGGCATGCGGTAAGATATTTGGTCTGAGGCCCTGGAGGGGACTCTAGTACTGTGGAGAGAGAACATTCCCAGTACAGAACAGCGCAGACAGATGCGAGCAGCACTGCAGATGCCACTTCTGGGAGAGCAGCCCCTGGAGGAGTGAATAATGGAACTCCAGCGTCTGGTCAGGAAGGAACTGTGGCTGAACGAGGCATACTGGGTGTTTCTATGGTACGCAGTCCAGAGGTGCCCTTAGATGGCTTGGAGCAATAGGCCAGAGGGTGACAACTACATTGGGCTTCGTCTGCTATGGGAGGCCTTGGAGGAGGACAGTGACTTTGGCAGCAGAGAGGAGTCTTGGTTATGGGACATCCAAGAAAAAGAGTAGACGAGCTGGAATACCCTGATACTATGGGGCAGTGACTAGATCTCACCTATCTAGTCACGATTGAATGGGAGCTGGAGTACGAATATTTATTCGACTATGTTTAGCAAGCCCCTGGAGTGGAGCAACCAGGAGTGAAGAGTGTCATCTCCCCTCCCCAGCGACAACAAGAGTTACTGTTACTCCCCAGAGGCAGTGCTTGTAAAAAGGAGAGGAGACAGCTGGTCTTTCTCCCCAGCGGCTGGCACAAGTACTGGGAGTGGAGACAGTTGGCCTCCCTCCCCAGTGTCAGTGCTTGTTATTGGGAGTGGAGACAACCAGTCTCCCTCCACAGCGGCAGTGCTAGTTACTGGAAGTGGAGACAGTCGGTCTCCCTCCCCAGCGGCAGTTCTTGTTACTGGGAGTGGAGAAAGTCGGTGTCCCTCCCCAGTTGCAGTGTTTTTTTACTGGGAGTAGAGACAGTCTGCCGCTCTCCCCAGTGGCAGTATGGATTACAAGGAGAGGAGACAGCCGGTTCCAGCTAGGAAGCGAGCTTGGTAGAAGTAACCAGCCGGGGTACAGGGACATCACATTTGGTGGCAGCCGTGGCTTCCTAACAAAATAAGGAAACATCCCTGGGATACTTGCATGCCTTCTGGAAGTAAGTGCCCGCAGAGTTGGACCAGGCAAGCATGGCGTCCTTCAAATTTTACTTGGAGTTCCATCGTAAGGTGGGACTCCAACTTTTTTTTTTGGCCCTGATGTTTTGGTGGAGACCGTCAAGGCAGCCACGATCCATGTGGCTGCTGTTTTACAAGCCAGGAGATAATGCAAGCTTCAGTTGGCCACGGTGATGTGAGAGACTGTGGGTGGAGGACTCCAGCGAAAGAAAAGTTGCAGTGGCCCATCAGAGGTCTGCCTCCCCAGCAGCAGTTGGAACTACCAGGAGGAGCAGCGGTTATCAAACTTCCCCCACAGCAGCACAAAGTAATTCCAAGATGGAGCATTATACCAGACCTACCAGGTTAGCTGGCTGTTTTGGGATGGATTACATGACTACCTCAGGTACAGACCGATTGGAGGTCTGGTACCTGATTAGTCTACATTTCAGGGTGGGGGGAGAAAAGAAATGTGATGGTAGTCACATCACCTGGAGCTTCAGACAGACTATTTATGTATTTCCCTGGACTATTATGTTTTAGTCACCCTGTACCCATTAATAGGTGCACAGTGTATATTGTTATATGTTTTGTGTGCTCTCCTGTCCTGCTGATGCTTGCTACCAAGTAGGTGGATTTGGCTGTGGAGCCTGTACAGCGCCACCTATTAGTTGGAAGGATCTAGGAACAGTTGTATGCACTACCCGAATAGCAAGGATTGCTCATTTACATATCCATGTTAGATTTGCATATTGCGAATTCTGGAGGCAGGAGAGTGTTTTGAGTTTATTATTGTCTTTCCCACCCCTTTATACATATGTGGTTATATTATTATAAGTTCCTGCATGTTTTCTGATATGATTTAGTTAATTGTACTATATTGAGTTTATCACAGCAAGGTTGATGTAACAACCACATGGGTTAGTAAAACGATCCCAGTGACAGAGTCTTGGTACCTGTTGACTTGTCCCTCTAGCCCTGGGATAAGTCAAGAGAGCCTGAGAGCCAAAAGTGCCTTTGTAAAGGCAATATCAATCACTGCAGATAACTAGACAGAGGGGACTATACCTACCTGCAAGAAGGACTGCAGAGGAATTGGCAAGGGGGACGATACCTGCCAGGATGAGGGCTGCAGCCCGGTCGGGTGGAAAAGCTCTAGAAGGACCCCAGGCAAGCCATGGCGACTGGGGCAGAAGCACTTCAGGTATCCTGGTTCTAGCTAGGAAGTGAGCTTGGCACCAACACATTATTCTAGGCTCTATGGTTTCTACAATATTTCAGTTGAGAAACAATGAGTTACATTGCGCTGGTGCACTGCTTTGGAGATTTTTCTTTTTGTCTTGTTTTCAGTTATATTTTCACAAGGGAATAAAGGATTTGACCTTATTAATCCATCAACCCACGGATGCATTATATATAAAAACAAAAACATAGTGAACTTACCTACTTAAACTATTTTGTCAGAGTCTGTTCAGAGACTGTAAATTTGTCTTTTCCTTTTTCAGTATGACAATGCACCCACCCATGAAGGATGTTCCATAAAAAAAAAGCTTGTCAAGTTTACGATAGAAAATGTCCATAATGTCCTGACATAAATCCCACCACCATACACATTTGAAGTAATCTGGAAAATTAACATTAAGCCAGGTCTAGTTGTGATTTCAAAGCAAATTTCAAATTTTAGGCAAAAATAGCTTAAATCCGAACACAGCTGACTGGGAGTTTCCAGTTCGAGTATTCACTCCTACATTTGAAATTTACTTCGGATTCACTTTACATTCACCAATTTCAACACAATTTATACCTGAGCAAATAACCCTGATAGTAAAAAAAGTCTTAGAAGGTACAAAGACAGTGTGTGGGGAACACACTACATTTTATTGCACATGATTTTGGAATAATAATGGAGGATAGACGCGTTTCAGACGAGCTCCTCCACACTTTCACTATACACAGCGTTTAACAGCCCAATTTGCCCTAACCAAGGGCAATACCAAGCGAGGTCTAAACTGCCTGACCCACCCGAGATGTCGAGAGACGGTCGGCGGCTCCCTGAGAATCTGAAAGCCCCGTCAGGGCAGACGCGGCTTACCACATGCCGGACAGAGCCTGCGGCTAACCTGCCGAACCAGCGGAGCACAGAAAGCATTACCCGTGAGCAGGGGAGATCCCGGTCCACCATTGAGAAGCAATTCAAACCGGCCAGGTCAGCGGGCGGAAGCCACGAGCACATGCCAGGCAAGTGAGGCCTAACTAAAATGGCGGAAGCAGTGTGGCTCCCAAGCCCCGATGCCAGCAATATACTCACCCGGCTGGATAAGCACTTCCAGGACTTGTGGATAAAACTAGAGCGCAGGATGCACCAACCAGCCCCCACCACAACCACATATTCACTCACATGGGGGTCACTTGCTACAGCCTGCGACTTCAGGGGCTCCCACGCAGCGGCAGGTTGAGAGGCGCACCACCCCAAAGTGCAGGAAAGCGAGACAACGTCCACGGAGGCACTCAGCCTGTCAACCCCGCCGGGAAACCGAGCGGCATCCAACAATGAGAACGCGCCCAATGCCTCAACAAAGCCAAAACTCGGCCAGGAACCAGAGCACCTCAGCTACAGAGAGTTCTCATGAAAAGCCCAGGCCCTCAAGACGAACCAGCAAACTCCGACCACACTGCACCTGTCGCCTGTTGGGCCACCGGCAGCCCTGCATGAACTGTCCTTACATGGAAGCTTACAGCCCAGCAAGGGTTTAGGTTGAAGGACTGCTTAACTGTGCTGGCAAGCCAGGCTTGCTGCCATGACAAATCACTCTTTATTACTAGTGATGTATGGCTGTGTTATCCACTTATCTATGCCACCGTTTGAAGTTTAAATTGGTTTCTTTTTTTTTTGCTAGCTTTTTCTCTCTTCTCACCACTTACTCTCACATTCCTCACACACTAACCCAGCTGTGCATTAGGTCTCCCATACCATGCACGGCCATAATTCAAATGCAAACCGAGCAACAAGACTATCCATGTAGGTGATGAGCCTTAAAGCCATACCTACTCTGTGTGTTACTTTAATTTTGGCCTGCTGTTAGTATATACAATGCAGATATCTCACCTATGCACAATTAAGACTAACAGCAGTTAAGACTAACAGATATTGATACAAGCACTTATAATAAAACCTGTGTGTGACAAAACTCTGTGTCAGATACCAGTTGAATAGCCTGTCTAACTCAATAGTAATGTTAACACTTTAATGACATAAATAAGCATGCTGATGTTTTAGTGACACAAACGACTAAGCCTGTTTTACACTGAGAACTTACTATTAATGTTGCAGCCTTTTCTCGTTTAAAATTGTACCTCATCTTGTGACACAACCTTTCCAGCTTTAGCCTGAAATTATTATAAAAATGTGCTGTCAAATCGCATGCCATGACTAACCAATTGTCTCTAATTCGCCTGCCAATGCTGTTGTGGCATCGCAAGGAAAATGTTAACTGTCTATACATGCACAAGAAAAATAAAGAATAAAAAATAAAAATAAACTTTACCCCAGTGGTGTTTTGTCATCGCTGCATGGATCCGGGTGTTATTTTGCCAACATGGGCACTCCGATCAGAGCTATCCAGGGATATATAATGTGTGGGGTTTCTGTATGTTTTTATGCGGTTTTCGGGGTGTTTGTATTGTGCTCTCTGGATCCGGTAGATAATTGACTTAGCAAGCCTCAACTCAATTATCTCCCAGACTCAGAGGCCCCAGGGCGGGATCACTGTATTGTGAATAGGGACCCCATGCTGGGGGTCCGTGTATAATGACCGTGTTGAACCTAATAAAAGCAGACCTACTCCCCACATTAAAAAGTGACTAATGTATGGGGGAAAGCTATAATCACTAGTTCGTCTGGAAGGAGCAATAATACTACGGGAAAGGGAATCATTGGCAGCAATACTACGGTGGTCCGCCACAGCAACTGTCCTGATGATCATCAAGTTTCACTTTAACAAGATAACTCCGCACTCTCTAAACCTGTATGGAGGGAGTTCTATAGTAATATTTTCCTACCCTGTATAATTATACTACATTTTAGTGTATTCTGCAAGCCTTACAAATAGATATTTACAAGGATAAGTAAACAATATTAAAAATCCTGGGTAGTGAGTTTCATACTAAGGATACTTGGTGGGAATATTCTGCTGCCGATAGCTTGTGGTGTGCGTATGAAGATGGTCACGAACCTTTGTTAGATATTTTTATAAAAAAATAAAATAAAAAAAAGATCCTAGAGTTTGCTTCGTCCTACAAAACTAGTTTCTAAATGGACAGAGCCATATTCAGAAACATCGATCTTGATGGTCATTTTGAGAGTGAACATGAAGAATCCTTTAAAGGGACACTCCACTGCATAAACACAAAATAAACACTGTTTAGTACAGTGGTCCCCAACCCAGTCCTCATGGATCACCAACAGCCCAGGATTTATTTCCCTTTTATATTCAAATGGAGATACTGACAAAACCTGGACTGTTGGTGGTCCATGAGGACTGGGTTGGGCACCACTGGTTTAGTAGATATACCCCAAATGAAAACCTGCATTTAATTATGCATTGTTTTCCATTGGAGTTATATCTAAAATTAGCATGCAAAAACAGCAGTTCTCTTTTCAGCTGCCTTTGCAAGCCCTCCCCTTCTAACCCTGCCAGGACTTTATGTTCAATCACAGACTTCCCAATGCAGTTTAATGAGACGTCTTTGTAAGGCTCTGGGCAATTGCTGCCTCTTGAATTCAGTGCTAATAAGCTAACCAAAGCAGGAAGTAACAGGACCTGCTGTCTGCTTGAAAAGCCAGAGGATGTAACCAGGTTAATTTATAAAAGTGCCAATTTCTATTGAAATTTTCACTATTTAAAAAAAGAAAAAAAAAAAAAAGAAAAAAAAAGGGACACACTATACACAAAGCTTTTCAGCAAGCTAAAGTGCTTTAGTTATCTGGAGTGTCCCTTTAAGGAAGGCAGATAAGCAAACAAGCTAATGGGGAGTGTGATGCATTAAGTGAGTTTAACGGCATCACTTTTTTTTTTTTGAGAAATGAGAAGACAATCATACACATGTTGAGATGCAAAGCAATGTTGGAAGAGACAATGCATGAACACCCACAAAATCCCAATAAGATGGTTTATATGTGATAAATTCAGTGGATGCTTTGTGTAGATTCACATAACACCTTCTTAACATATAAAACATACAGACGCTGCATCTTATTAAACATTTGTTAGTTTCTTTTATTTCTCTGGACATATTCCTGTTTTCAGATATCTAGGCACAACCCAAGGACTGTATGACACAATGTACAAGAACTGATGTATTCTACAAAAAACAGGAAGCTTCAGCCTGAGAATCGCGATTATGTACAAAGAGCGCCAATATATAAATATGGCTTATCTAACTGAATAACAAACCTTTGGGTATTTGAAGGAATGTGATGCTTTTTAGACCTGGCAGTGCCAGGATCATTGTGGGGGAAGCAATACACATTTCTCTGCCACTGAAAGTGATTCACACTTTCACAACAAGAGAATGCTTAAAACTAAGATCCTCTTCTGCATTCCGAGCACTAAATGGTCCGATCCTTTACCAGATATCTGGTGTTTTGTGTATGACATCAGGTGTTGCACAGTAACACACAGACAGAATTATATTTCTTCTAAGACTACCTGGTTCCACTACCATTTTTCACTTTAATCCCCCTGACATTGAAATAGGGTTAAGGGCAGTTGAGTACCACATTACAATCTGACACATGCAGCTTGGACCATTGCAATGCAAGATCATACAATAAAAATTTGAAACCTGAATGGGAGAAAATAACTAACAATTTGCATCACATTAAATCTTCCCTCTTAATCAGAGCATCACATTGACCATTTTTTAAATATACATTGGGTTATTTCGGGTTGTGAAGAATGGAAATTCATGGCTCCTATCATCAGTGTTTATGGACATGTACCCTTACATTTTAAACCGTTTTTTTTTTTGTTTTTTTTTAAAGGATGCATTAAATTTGTCACATTGTAAGTTTGTGTGTATATATAGATATATATATATCTATATATATCTATATATACACACACACACATATAATCTGTTGTAGGTTGTCAAATGACTTTATGGTCATAAAAAAATAGAACAATGTCCGCACCATTTGCTTTTGGACTATAGTTTGATTTAAACATTAGATTTAAAAAGTGAAACTTTATACCAATCTTTGATTTTACGTAGGGGTATTGGAACATGTGCAAAAACAATATGCTCTATTTTCTCTTTTGTAAGATAAGGATTACACTTGTTGCTTTATTACAACAGGAGTAATCTGTGCAAGTTAACCAGCCCTCTGGCAGTGACAAGATTACAAGACTCCCCAATTTGTTCCTTTTTCTATCACAGTCCTCTTCAGCCTTGTGCTGGTTTGGGACACTTCTCTATATACATCAATATACAGTAGTAATAATAATTATAATAATAATTGAATGAAGTACAATAACCAGAGTTAAAATACCGTTAGCAATTTAACACGTTTTCTGTTAATTGCAGCAATACTCAAGAGAACATAAGTGGTCACTATAGGTGCATTACAACCATAATGTATGCCAACCAAACTGCAGTATGGATCATACAGGGGACTGTGAGTGGGTGAGACATGCTGTGATTCTTTTTGTAATCTTAAAAATGATGCTGACAGGTTTAGCCAAAAATGTATTAAAAGTCTCTAATCCTTGAGATTCTGCTGCTTAATATATTACTTTTGTTACAATATGATTTTATGTAAGGATCTCCCCACATCGGTACAGTGTATCTGTTGGTGGTCAGGTGCTACGTGAGCAAAATCCTATGACAAGGAGAAAATAAAATCTATAGTGGTTTTCACCTGTTTTCTCTCAAAAAGTACTGACATATCTTCTCATCCTCCTACAGCAAGCACACGAAGACTAGAAAGTCCTCCAATAGGAATCAATGTGCTTTTTGCCCAAAAGGGTGATGGTTCAGTTCTAACAACAGTCCATCAGCCATGTCTTCTCCACCAGAATGTCAGAACACCAGTGTTTTACAACAATGGGACAAACACATCTAATTGGATTCTCACAGCCAAAGTTGATAGGGTTTTCTTTCACTGCATTGATCCCTGTCTTGGCCTACTAGGATTCTGTAAATATTTCTGTACCCTTATTTGATAGAGCTATATGTCTGTAACTCTCTTTGCCCCTCACTCACTGGGTAAGTTTGATTGAAAAGCCTCACATTATAAAATAATTTAAAAATCTTCACTGAAACGAAAAAAAAAAAATCAAAAATCAAAAAAAACCTGACAGGCGTATTTAAAAGAAGCTAACCAGAAGGCAGAACGTAGTTAAGGATCTCAAAGGTGGTCAGCTCGGTCCTCACGTGGGGTTGCTCTGTACAAGCAGCGATGTAAATGTGCATGACAATGTTCAGGGAGTTTGACATTTGGATGAGAGACTTCCCTTTACCCAAAACTGACCACAGGATCCACCCCCATTCACTGTCTTACTGTTGACAAAATTTACTATGGTCTTTTTTTTTTTATATAAACTCTGCAGGTGTTCTGCCTTTTGTGTGCAATTTCCTCCAGCACAGTTTCCTGAATCCCTTTTTCAGTTGATTGGGAGTTATTTTCCTTCATCTGTTGCTGAGGGATAGATGCATTTAGCAGCTTACGCTACAGGCATACTTGTGATGTCCACCTGTTTCACATGAAGATACAAAGGGTTTTATGCGGTGTCCGGCGGTTTCAGCTCCACACATGATCTGGGTCACTTCTGCCAGCCACTTAATTAGGAGACCCTGCCAATGGCTGCTATGTAGTGCCCCAGTATATGCTCTCTGGGTGACTGTCAGATGTGGGGACCTGCATCTACCAACTCACGCATCTGACAAACAGCTCTGGATTCGGTCAATCCATTGCTGTGCTAATAGAGGGTCTGTTGCACAAAAATTGTACACTCTCCGGGTCGTCTTCAACTGTTGAGAGATTGAAAAAAATCAATTATTAAGAGAAAAGGAGACACTAGAAAAAAAAAATTGTAAAGAGAAAGGGAGGTACTAGTGGTATAACAAATTCCTTCTAGTAAAAATGTAGTAAACAGCATACAATACTCACATC